TAACCCAGACAACCTACTACTTCAGGCAAGATTCTGAAGTGTGCACCTGACGGACACTTTTCTATCCCATGAGGCCATGGGAGAGGAGATGTGAATGGTAGTGAAGCCTACAAGGTTAAGAAAAAAAGGCAACTAGAGGCCGATATTTATGAATGTACTGTATGTCAGTGGAGGAGAGGGAGGATTTCTCACGACACTGGAAAACAAAAATAGCGCAAAAAATAAACATTTCCTCCTGAAATTAAAATAAACTGATGCTAGCATTATCTTCTGCAAAAGAAAAATAAGGTGGATACAGTAGGTAAAAAACTGTATGTGAGAAGTAACCCAGACAACCTACTACTTCAGGCAAGATTCTGAAGTGTGCACCTGACGGACACTTTTCTATCCCATGAGGCCATGGGAGAGGAGATGTGAATGGTAGTGAAGCCTACAAGGTTAAGAAAAAAAGGCAACTAGAGGCCGATATTTATGAATGTACTGTATGTCAGTGGAGGAGAGGGAGGATTTCTCACGACACTGGAAAACAAAAATAGCGCAAAAAAATAAACATTTCCTCCTGAAATTAAAATAAACTGATGCTAGCATTATCTTCTGCAATGTCCAACACCAATATCTCTGTTAACATTTTTTAAAATGTATTTTAGTGTTTCATAAACAAAAATGTTATTTGGCATTCACTGCCAAATTCACATGTTTTTTTTATTATATTATAAGACATGGAGGAAAATAAACATAGATGATGATGATGATGAACACAAAATATGAATCAACAATTAAGAATTTAAGAATTAAGAATTAGGAATATTAAAGACATTTAGACTGTCTAGACTAGAATTTTATAAATTTGTATCTATCTATCTATCTATCTATCTATCTATCTATCTATCTATCTATCTATCTATCTATCTATCTATCTATCTATCTATCTATCTATCTATCTATCTATCTATCTATCTATCTATCCTGCCTGTCTGTATGTCTGTCTGTCTGTCTGTCTATCTATCTCTATCAATATATCTATCTGCCTATATTTATTTATTGGTGGTTGCAATAAGGGACCTGGATAATGAATGGGGGTAAAAAAGGTTGAGAAGCACTCTTTTTGGGGCATAGGATCATTTTCTGCATACCATTACATTAAAACTTTGATAATTACATGACATGTAGTGTGAAAAGAACATTCAAATCAATGGCTTTACATTGTCGTGGGGTGAATGGTTGCCAAGGTGTGGCTATGCAAGTGTAAAAAATTGTGTGCAATATCTGTAGCATGTTGCTATGTGGTTACAAATAAGTTCTAGAGTACATACTACTTACTAGGGTATTGCTAAGCGATTACTTGAGTATTATGGGCAGTTCAGAGGGTGTTGCTGCATTTGTTAAGGTTTTTGGGTGACTGCCTATGCATGGCTAGCTAGTTGCTAGTCTGTTGCCGTGCTGTTGCAGGTCAGAAGGGTTTTTATCATTTTGCTTTGTGGTTGCTTAAGTATTGCTTAGGTGATTGCTAGGGTGTTGCTATGTGGATACTCAAGCATGCTAAGTAGTTCAGAAGGTGTTGCAATGCATTTGTATAAGTATTTTAGGTGGCTCTCCAGTACTGTTGGGTAAGTTTCCTTTAAAAAGTAATTAATAACTAGCTACTACTTACATCTTCAACCGTGTAATTTGATTACGTATACTAATTCCTCTCTCTAAAAATGTAGTATTGCATTACTTATAACTAATTTATTTGTAAATCCCATATCAACCTCGACCAGTTGAACAATACAAGGATAGACATGAAACTGCTCTTTTAATTCTTTCAAAAAAATTCTATAAAATGGCATAATTCATTCTTGAACTGACCAAAGTATTTAAAGGGAGAAGGTTACATTAAAACATACTTTTTTAATATTACGTGTTACATTTTGATGTGAAATCCACTGTTGCTTTATTTAGAATTGTTCTATAGTATATGTACAGTATTTAATGCAATTACATCAGGAGTAACTGTAATTCAATTACAGAAAGAGTAATGCCTTACTTTTTCAAGGGAAAAGTAATTAAATTACAGAGATCAATTACTTCGTTGTGCATTACACCCAACACTGTCCAGGTACACTTTAAGAAATAAAAAAAAGTACAAAAGCTATCACTGGTGTGGTACCTTTCAATAGGTACTAATATGTACTTTTAAAGCACAGATTTCTTTAAAGTACTGTTAAGGTACTAACATTGGGGTAAAAGATTTACCTTTTAGATTTTGTGCTGTGTTGTTTGCTAAGGAGTTCTTAGAGGACTGAGTCCAGTAATAGCACACTTTCTTCCTTCCTAATTAAACATTTTAGCAGAAGTACTCAAAAATAGCCATGATTAAAGACATACGCTAGCTTTTCCATGACTCATGATGGCACAGATGAGTTAGTCAAGGATTTTCAGATAGATAAATGTCTCAATGGATGAAAGCAGATCAGAATAATACAAAGTCTGAGGAAAAGAAAAATCTCCCTGCTCTGAATGTGGGATATTGCTTCTCAGCTCAGCCCTCGGAGCTATAGTGAGCAGTGGCGTCTGATTGAACGCAAACTCTTTGAGCCTGATGTGTAAATCTTCATTCATATGTATAGGCCTTAGTCACTCACTGCACCACAGAGGGATTTAGGAATCCAAATCCCAAAAAGCAATAACCAAAGAGGAAAGACTCCTTAATATCACTATACGTTGTTCTGAACATCAAAAGCAAACCATCACAAGCTGGCTCAGGAATTGGAGGATTAATGTGTAATAACGGCAGGTGATGGGGAGAGAATCCCTCTCAGAGTCATTGTGATGATGTCAGCTACAACCTTTATGAAAATGTTTATTACGCAAATTCATCCTGTGGTGTCTTGGGACATTGTCATGATTTTATAATGTCAATTGAGGGAGCAATTGAGAAAGAAAAATTACGCAAATGAGATTTGAAGCTCGTTTGAATCCCAAAACTGCTACAGCGTATGAGTTGACAAACTCGGTTTTATGTAGCAAAAGGTTGTGGGTCATAATAATTCATTATATTTTGTTACAGCATATTTACAGCTTCTGAAGCTTGTCGGTACAGCCGGTGCCTAATATTTGATTGTTTATGCAGGAAGGTCATTGCAGTCAGACGAGTAATTGATATTAAAATCAATCAGACCTGTACTCAAAAATAACTGCATGGCAGGTTTGCACGGTTGACCTTGAAACCAAACGTGCCGAATATGACAAATATGCTATATACGGCTGATAGCGCAACACATTTCTTACAATCTTCACAATGTCTGCATTGCTGAACTCATACAGAAACAGCACACTTGAGATTCTATGATTCATAGCATGCACATATAATAACAGATTGTCATTTTATGGACGTGTCCTTTAATTGAAAAGTTAATTTCTCAGTGCACTGAGGTGTTGGAAATCTTTTCATGGTCATTCACTCTACTTGTCTTAGCTTTATTCTCTTTGACTTGTAATGTGCTACTGCCACCTTTCGGTTCGTGATCACAGCCTCAACAAATAATTTACCACCCATATCTACTATCCCAGAATTTTATAACATATGGAGTGTGTAGAAAGTGATAGCATTAGGTTTATTTTTATTTATTTATTTATTTAAATGTGCTCAACATGCATAATTGAAATAGTTTATATATTTGCTTAATAACCTCAGTTCATTAATGCTGACCTATTTCATACGTATTTTCTATACATTTAATAACTTTCCAAGACAAAGGTACAAGACTGTGTACTTGACTTCTTTTATAGTGCAATGTGTTATTCATCAAGTACGGCGAATAAGCGCTGTTGATTAAGCAGTGATATTTTGGCCTTGCTCCCTCCTGAAGTATTTTGTGTTCCCATTATGTTCTCTTTTTTAAACTAGACTTCAATTCATTTCAGGTGAAAGTTTTGTGAAGAACTCCTGTGTATAGACCTTAGTCAGGTTAGACACCATATTTAATTAAAAAAAGAGAAAAAAAAAGTCTTGACATTTGCATACACTGTACAGTATGAATGTCCTTGATCACTTCATTTTTACAACTCACAACTTTTAAAACAGTTTGATTGAGTTTTTGTCTCCTGAAAGACTTTAGCACCTAATGTAACCTAAAATACAATATATTAGAAATGTATTAAATATTCAAACACAAAAACTAAACAAGTCTTGTTTCCAGAGTAATAGAAACTTTTCTGATTGGTGGATTTTGTTTGAGGATTGTGGGTAATGTAGTATTATCCTGACTACGGTTTATTTATTTATGTTTTTGTCTTTAACACTCATTATCTGTAAGTCTAAAATTACAATATATTAGAAATATATTAAATATTCAAACACAAAAACTGGTTTCAAACCATTCCTGTTTCCACAGTAACAGTAACTTCTCTAATTGGTGGATTTTGTCTCAGAATTGTGGGTAGTGTAGTAGGCTACTTTACATTCAAAAGGGATTAAAAATTAATCTGCCAGGGACCCTTGGTTTGAAAAGGCTTGAAAACCCTGGAATAGGACGATTTTTGAGTGAAGTGCCCTTTCTGTCCACCAGATGTCAATATTGAACAGGAGTGAAAGAGCTAATGGCACTCACTGTCTGAATACATGAATTCTATGTTGTCTAAAAATGTCTCAGATGCGTTTCTTTGAATTAGGCATTAATATTTTTTTAATTGAATGAATTTACGTATTTAACGAATACGTCTTAAGAGAACAAAAGGACTTCAATATTTTTTTCTGTGTATACAGACACACTGGTTGCTTTATTATATTGTGTGTGAGATTTATTTGACAGCAGTGTGCACCTGTAAGCTTTTTAGTAGCACATTTTATACAGTTGTTTTCCATTGTGAATTTACACACATTTTGTGCTGTTTACACATCTGCTGTAACTGAGCTTAAGTGAGTTTACAACTTGTCTGGAGTGATGAAGGGTTTTGTAGAAGCGCGCGCGGTGCGCAGCCGCAGGAGAGGCGCTTGGAGTCAGTCAGTGTCAGGGGCTTTGAGGGGTCACAGCTGATCACTCTGCATGCACTTACACACTCAACTCTTGTGTTATGCATCCTTGTAAGCAAACAGAGCCAGTGGAAATACTTTTACGCAGTGTTTGCCTCTCTGGTCGTCGTGTCTCGTCCACGGGTGGCGGATTTTTTGTTGTGTTTGGTGTTTTAGAGTGAATGGTGAGGATTACCGGAGCGCTCCAGAAATCAGCGGCGGTTTTGGAGTTTCACGTCCGGGATGGCCTCATCGCGCCAGGACTACATTGCACCATGGTGGACCTACTGGCTGCACAATTTCCCGCATCTTAATTTTAATTTCCAGACGGTTGATAGCACTTTTAAACCGGAGGACACCAGCTATCAGCAGGTGAGAGTTGTTTGGATTTGTAGTTTATGGAGGGGAGACAGGGGGAAAACTAAAAGTAAATATGATCTTTTTCTGCCATAGCTGGTGGGTAAACAGCTGACACAAATTCATAGCTTAGTCAACTATAATGAAGGTAGATTTCAACTTAAAGTTTGAGCGTGTTCTCGGGACAAGAGTATTTTATACGTATCATTTTAATTAAGGGAAAGACTTTTTACTACAATTTTTGAAAGTGAGTTTCTATGTAGACACAAATACTTGACAACATCAACAAAAAGAAGCCATTGAACATTTACACTGTTATGGCTTGAAGAGAGGGAATTAAACACAAGTTGGCTTGACCACAATTGGAGCTTGTTGTCCTACTACGGGGCAAGTTGTCACTGTGTTACAGGCCATTAAACATCCTAAGACTTTTCAGTATGAAGTAAACAATGAGCATCTCATTAGTCTAGCAATAAATAAATAAAATTAATAAAATAGAATATAGAGATATCAAACCATTGTTTTAGCCAACAAAAGTTATAATAAATAAATTGCAGAAATTATGAGTTAAGCAATTAATTAGACTGCAAATAAATAAAATTAATAAAATAACATACAAAAAAATACCAAAGCCTTGTTTTGTCCAGCAAATATTATAATTAATAACTTGCATACGTTTATATCATTTAAAATGTGTGACAACTTACCTCAACCTGATATGAATGAAAAACACCTAAACATTGCTGAACCTTTAAGTGAATTAGTATTATTTTTTATAGTTGATTATTTTCTGCATGTCAGTGTGTAAATCAAGTTTACCCGTTTTGATGCTTTTTTAAACTTTTAATGTATTGCTGTTTCAATGGTTGTTTTCCCCCTCTTTTAATAATGTATTTGCTGTTTAAATTCATACGAAAACCTATTTAATACCTTATTCTAGGCTACTTTTTTTTTTAGATTTAATTTTTTTTTATTTTTGACTTTTTATTAGCATAGGACAGTATATATTGACAGGAAACGAGGTGAGAGGGGGAGGGGAGGGGAGGGCAGGATTGAGAAAGGACTCACTGAAGAAAGAACTCAAGAAATCACTGACAGTGAACAGCAAGTTTTTGCCATGCAGTGTGACATGTCCCATATGCATTGTTTTCCTTTTACAGGGCAAGAAGTGTTCAAAAGCATTTTTAAGACGTATGCCTATACAGAAGCTGAATTAAAAATAAACTTACAGGTGCATCTCAATAAATTAGAATGTCGTGGAAAAGTTCATTTATTTCAGTAATTCAACTCAAATTGTGAAACT